TTCGTTAAAGATTTAAAAATTAACAGCATTCGCCGTTCGTTAACGGAATATTTTGTTAATTTTAAAATATTAACCGTTCGTTAATGGAACGTGTCACGGTGTCCTAGTAGTATACACGACAACCTGGAGACAACAATGATATTGAATATGTTTTTCTAGTTAAAAAACGGGTAAAATACCTTTAAAACTAAATAAAAACAGACTTTTATTTCATTACAGTATTTCTTAAGAGATGAAGAGTTCCCGAAAAAAAAGAATGAAAATGTTGCCCGTTTATAATATAAAATAATAGTTTTATTATTTGCTTGTACAGGATTGAAGTGGCTTTAGAGAGAGAGAGAGCCAGGTGATTTACTTTAAAAATATGTTTTCTTTATATATATTTTTTGGGTCCATTAATCATCAAAATGGGCAACATTTTCTGAAACATTCTCACATGAAAGGCCCAGGATCAGGAAAGGTTTTTGAATCTCCGACGGTTCAACCCCGACTCAAATTTTAATTATTATTTTAACAGAATGTTAGATATACGATGCAATGCTATACTTTGATTATGATTAAATTACACAAGAAAATTGCCATTTCTTTGAGTGTTTAATGTGTCAGTATGTGTCAGTAGGATTGTTAATCATTTTGAAAAACGATCACGATCACGATCATTTCGTTTTTAGAAAAAAAACGATCATTTTTGGAAGCGAACCACTCGTTTTGAACTTTCCAAAAACGAGGAACGATCGTTTAAAAAAATGAATCAGAGTTTTATGACAAAAATTTAAATTTTTTTCAAGAAGATAAGGTTATATATCTTGTTTTAAATGATTTTTTTTATCTAGAAAAAAACACCTGATTGTATTTTCTCTTTATAAGGTCGTTAACGCTCGTTAACGAAGGGTCGTTTTTAAAAACGGCCGCTTTCAAAAAACGAAAAACCTGAAGTTTTTTAAAACTTTCATTTTTTAAAAACGATCGTATTTTTATTAAACTAAAAACGATCGTTTTTTTAAAACGACTGTTTTTAAAACGTTGGTTTTGATGTCATAAAGTTGCGCTTTAATAACTAAAAACTAGTTTGAATTAAACACCCTAAACTAAGCTTGATCTGCTATACAATGACCGAAGAATTGGTCCGTTTTAGTGGAGAGTGTGTTGATCTTTTTCTTTAAAGGGAATGACCGGCTTTATAAGGTAGTTGAACTGAGTATACAGTGTTGTGGAAAGCTTCTTTCGGATTCATATTTAATAATTTAAAAAAACCTAATTCTGAAAACGTATCCAACCCAAAGTAGGAGTTTTAAACGTCGAATTTGTGCTCAAACTCAGGATTTACAGATCTTTAAAAAGTTTAATATGTCTCAAATGAATCCGAAAAATGTTTTCCACAACACTGCATACTCAGTTCAACTACCTTACATAGCCGGTCACTCCCTTTAAATTTTATAAATACATTATACATACGAAATTTGTTAGTTGTATTTTGTAAAAAGACGCACAATGTAGAAATTGTACAAACTAAAATTTGTAACGATCGGTCCCAAATTCATCCCTAATTTCACCTTATATTATTAAAGAACATTTTTCGTTTTTTCTGCGCCAAATAATTTCTTTTTAAAAAAATTATTTTAAAAATATTGTTTTCATTTTCTTTACAATGCATTTTGGTTTACATATAGGTTACTGCGGGAGGAATCTGTATATCTGAGAAAACAAGCTGATGATTTTCAAAGGTGAAGTGTATAAAAAATTAAAAATATGGGTTAAGGAGTGTTAATTAATCGATTGATAGAGTGAAAGGGACCGTAAGTGATGATTAATACAAAGAAACCAATCCCGATTTACAACGGTACTCTCAAAACTTTTGATCTGATCAATAATGTGGAAGATATTGTCGTTTTTCTAGATTGAAAGCCTTTAAAATTCTGGTCACTTTAATGGCATCGGAATAAACAATATTTTAATCTAGTCACTTTTGTATGGAAACCTGAAATCGAAAATAAATAATTTTCAAAGTCATTACCATTGATATCTAGGTCATTCTTGATCAGACAGCGCTTTTAAGATTACCGTGGTGAATTACCATCTTTGCATGGGAGAGTTGTTTAAACGACTCATGCCAAAGAACATAGCGTCCATACAAATTCAGAAAGATGCAACATTCAACGCGGATCGTAAACAAATCAATTTAATTCCAAACAAATCATTCAGATATCACAAACAATAGTCATCGATTATTTTTTAACGCATTCGTATATAGTTCATATTTCATAATTTGTATGGACGCTACCTTCTGCGATGTGAGAATTGTTTTTAACAATTTACTCCTTTTAGACGCAACAGATAGAAGTAAGATTAGTAGCGATAAAAAGCGATTATTTTTCGCCATAAACCTATACCCCCTTTCATTTTTTCCGAATACTCCCTTTAAGTATCGATTTAGCATAATTACATTGCAAATAACTATGAAAAACATGTGATTACGTTCATTAACTTAACTTGTATCATAGAACTCAAAATAAACGTAAGTTGGAATAATACTCCGCTTTGATTACGGTGCGTCCTGAATCACTTTCTTGAAAGATAGATATATATTGGGAATTATGTAGATTTGTAACTTGTAAGACAGACATCTAAGAATACATACTGAGTCATATCCGGATTGATATTGACTTTGGTATTCGTGTAAACCTTGAGTTACTGATTGAGCTGAATCTTGTAAGACAGATACCTGAGAATACAGACTGAGTCGTATCCGGATTGATATTGACTTTGGTATTCATGTGAACCTTTAGTTGTAACGAAAAATGCGAAATTTTCGCGAAACGATTTCCCCTTTTTGTTGGAACCACTAGTCAAAATATTAAAGGGCACTGTCGTGATTCAGACATGCCACTCAATAAATGAAAGGTCACTTTAAATTACGCCAACAGTCCCTTTAAGTGTTAAAAAAGATAATTTTCTTTCCTTGCATTTACAGCAAAATTTCTTAAGTTCAAAATGGTGAATAAAGAAGACGACAATATATGATGATTTATCTATCTATCAGGGAGGAGGAGAGACTAGGGGCTGAAGCTGATGATCTGGAAAATAAGGTGGTGGATAGAGAGTGGGAGGAACAATTGTAAGAATTAAGAATTAAATCTTAAAATTAAACTAATTGGATTCTGCTTAGACAAGCAATACTCAAATAAAGATGAATCAACCAACTAAAATTACGTTCAAATGACTGCACACAATGCACAATGTCTACAAGACGCATACAGTCTCTTTAAGGTTTCAAGGGTACCGTTGTAAATCGTGCATGGACCCTTGAAACAGATACAAAGATGTTCCTTTTAACCTCTCTTTTAGATTGGAAAAAAGTATTTCCGACAGTGAACAACAATATGAAGATTATGTAAAAGGTAAACAAACTTGAACAAAACTATCTCCAAACCAGTTTTATTAGAATTGTGTACTTGTTTCAGAAATCGTAGATACCGAGAGAGCTATCGATATGTACAGGTAGGGTTGTTAATCGTTTTTAAAGGGACTGGAAAGGAAAAATGAAAGGGGGTATGGGCAGATACCTGAGAATTTTAGGAGTTGAACGATGTTCATGAGACATTTAGCTGGTGTTCCTGTCTTGAGAAATTGACATAAAACTGTGTCAAAATTATCAAAACGTATATATGTAAGTTATACGTCAGTATTACGTGACCAGAACTCCCTCCAATAACAGTGCACTGTACTGGTCACGTGATACAGACAGAGGCACATGACAATAATACTGCACTGCCATTGGTTAGAGTTCTGGTGACATGTTCCGAACGTAAAAATAATATTATTAATTATATCTATTAAAAATGAAAAATTATTAAATTCAAATAATAATTGGAGCACACTTGAGTTTCTCAGGCTCCTCTGTGATATGATCGTTTTTAGATTGATTGCGTATTTGTTGAATATGATCTGTTTAATACTACAAATCTTATACAAAAACTTACATATATATATGTTGGTATAATTTCAACACAGTTTTATATCAATTTCTCGAGACAAGAACATCATATAGAACTCTAAAGATCTCAATCAACTTCTGAGCTTCTCAGGTTTCATTTTTCCTTTATAGTCCCTTTAATGTTAACAATTAAAGTAAAGTTTTATTATATGATGGATATTCATCTCTAAGCTTGTATTTTTAGAAATGCTTCAAAGGATCGACTAGATGAGGCAGCAGTATTCAGACAACAGGCGGCCAAAAAGAAAACTGAAGCTGAGAGGCTTCGTGGAGAAGTTTGTATTTTGTAATACTTGGTTTCTATTGGAGCATGAATAAGGAAATAGTTGACACCATAGATTAATTAACAATAACAGAAAGATCACTAGATGTCGTCCTTTCAAGATTTAGGGGTTTTTCGTTGACAATATCTGTAAGGCAGAAGCCCGAAGTAGTTGTGCATAAGCTTGCTCTCTTCTTGTAATTCAACCCGGCATTCGCTTAACTCCTTTGGGCCTCAGTCTCAGGGTTATTGTGAACGAAAAACCCCTAAATCTTCAGAGGACGACATTAAGTGTTCTATCTGTATTATTATTAATCAATGGGTAACAAATTAATAACATTTCCGAGGTTCTGACGAGTTTCCCAATCAAAACTATAATCAATCAATCAATCATGGGATTTATGAGATAGAATATGAAACACACAAACAGATTACTACTTTATATGTATTCTATTTTAACGTTATTAAGCTTCCTGCAATAATTTCAATTCTAAAATAAAATTTTTGTTATTAGAGATAACTCAGCAATCTTCAATCGATTAATTAACATTGGACGAGACATCTAGCTTTTTTTTTATAAATTTACAAAAAAAAAATTTGGTTTTTGCCACGAACTCATATGGTATGGTCCCCATATCTTTGCAAACTACAGGTGTAAACCTTTGATATTTCAAACTTAGATTATTTGATCTAACAGAAAATATAGTTTGAAATATCAAAGGTCTATGTCACGGGATTGCAAAGATATAAGGATCAGAAAATGAGAGTTTGTGGCAAAAACTTAACTCCTTATTTTAAACAATGCAGTTTTGATTAAAGGGACTATAAGTGCAATTTCCGGTAACTGTTTATNATCGATGAAATGAAAGCTCTTATGCTCTACTTTTAGAATCTGCAAAAAATTGCAAATTTGCAAAAATTGATTATTTTTGCAAAATCCAGTTATATATTGAAAATGTTTGCAAAAAAATGTCCAAAAAATGACAAAATATACATGTCTGAAAAGCCCTCAATCTTGCCATTTCAGATATGCAAAAAATATTAAATAACCTGATGTGTAATTAAGAAAACTTCTTTTCATTTGTTGTTTTCTAATTATTTGCAAAGCTTTCTTTGCAAAACTTGTGCAATCCATTTCTTATGTTATAGGCTTTCCAAAAAAATTAGTCATTCAGGCAGTGTGACCCTGAGGACTCAGGCAGTTAGTATAAAATCTCGGTTTTAGACCTAAAGGGATGGCTATGGGTATTTAGGAAAAGTCTAAAAATTTTAACACCTCAGACCAATACTTTTTGAGTTATGTAAAAAAACTTCCCCCCCCGCAGGAATAGGGTTAATTGATAAAAAAGTTATGGACTATTTTTTGAAGAAGTTTGAGTTCTCTTAGCTTGAGCCGTTTTTAATTTATGGAGAAAAAAACCACAGGGGCGGGGGGGGGGATTTTCTGCCATGCCATGTTTGTAACTTTGCTTGGGCAAAGGTGTTTAAAGAAAACGGGTTTGAAAAGGGCGCGCGCGCGCATGTAAATCTTTACAATAAAGAGATACATGGAATTCCGTCTGTTTAATGTTATGTTTAGGTCTGGACTTATCTCTGAGAAAACGTTTGCTAGAAAAAGGTGAGCAACAGTTTTAATCATTTCAAATTAGCGTTCGTTAAAGATCTTTTTTTATCCACGTTACCGAAAATATTTTATAAATTGTTAAAGGGGCTCCGCGCTATCCATTAACAGCGATGTTAGGTACTTTCCCAAAGGCAAGTGGCAACTTCCCAAGGGTATTTTCCCAAGTTACACAACTTCCCAAATGTGCAATTTCCCATGCGTCAACTTACCAAACCTGTCCTAACTGCAGAGCTCGGCCCTCATTGCAGCCTTTGGCGCCTCAGAAGGTCTAAACTAACCTTAGGACCTGTCAGATGCAAGATGTACTTATCAGCTCGTTAACGATATAATTATTTTTTTCGTGAACAATTATTTTTGTTCGTTAAAGATTTAAAAATTAACAGCATTCGCCGTTCGTTAACGGAATATTTTGTTAATTTTAAAATATTAACCGTTCGTTAATGGAACGTGTCACGGTGTCCTAGTAGTATACACGACAACCTGGAGACAACAATGATATTGAATATGTTTTTCTAGTTAAAAAACGGGTAAAATACCTTTAAAACTAAATAAAAACAGACTTTTATTTCATTACAGTATTTCTTAAGAGATGAAGAGTTCCCGAAAAAAAAGAATGAAAATGTTGCCCGTTTATAATATAAAATAATAGTTTTATTATTTGCTTGTACAGGATTGAAGTGGCTTTAGAGAGAGAGAGAGCCAGGTGATTTACTTTAAAAATATGTTTTCTTTATATATATTTTTTGGGTCCATTAATCATCAAAATGGGCAACATTTTCTGAAACATTCTCACATGAAAGGCCCAGGATCAGGAAAGGTTTTTGAATCTCCGACGGTTCAACCCCGACTCAAATTTTAATTATTATTTTAACAGAATGTTAGATATACGATGCAATGCTATACTTTGATTATGATTAAATTACACAAGAAAATTGCCATTTCTTTGAGTGTTTAATGTGTCAGTATGTGTCAGTAGGATTGTTAATCATTTTGAAAAACGATCACGATCACGATCATTTCGTTTTTAGAAAAAAAACGATCATTTTTGGAAGCGAACCACTCGTTTTGAACTTTCCAAAAACGAGGAACGATCGTTTAAAAAAATGAATCAGAGTTTTATGACAAAAATTTAAATTTTTTTCAAGAAGATAAGGTTATATATCTTGTTTTAAATGATTTTTTTTATCTAGAAAAAAACACCTGATTGTATTTTCTCTTTATAAGGTCGTTAACGCTCGTTAACGAAGGGTCGTTTTTAAAAACGGCCGCTTTCAAAAAACGAAAAACCTGAAGTTTTTTAAAACTTTCATTTTTTAAAAACGATCGTATTTTTATTAAACTAAAAACGATCGTTTTTTTAAAACGACTGTTTTTAAAACGTTGGTTTTGATGTCATAAAGTTGCGCTTTAATAACTAAAAACTAGTTTGAATTAAACACCCTAAACTAAGCTTGATCTGCTATACAATGACCGAAGAATTGGTCCGTTTTAGTGGAGAGTGTGTTGATCTTTTTCTTTAAAGGGAATGACCGGCTTTATAAGGTAGTTGAACTGAGTATACAGTGTTGTGGAAAGCTTCTTTCGGATTCATATTTAATAATTTAAAAAAACCTAATTCTGAAAACGTATCCAAAACGGATGTCGAAGCCTGACATGGGATCCATCTTTCACATAAATAATCAATGAAATATTCTGGTCATAGGAAACTATTATGTGAATTATCAAAATCATCAAAATTCAATGCTCTTAAATTCAATACTTAACGAACACTGATGCATCTATTCTTGTTTACAAATTCCGCCCAGAGAGAACTTTACTTGCATTACATTCTTACTGTTTATTATCTATATACATGACTTCTTCCAATCTAACAAACTTTTCAGTGTAGCCTTTGCTGAAGAAACAAATGTGGCATCAATGAATACTCTTGTAGACACAATAAATAAAAAATTTGAAAAAATAACTTTTTGGTACATGTCTAATAAACTTACTATTAACTTTGAGAAAACTAATGCAATTTTATTTTAAAATTCTCTTAATGCACAAAGGGACTGTACTGATGATAGGTAAAGTTGTAAATATGGTATGCTTCCTCTTTAAATATTAAAGGTTTAACTATAGGTATAGTTGTAAATATGGTATGCTTCCTCTTTAAATATGAAAGGTTTAACTATAGGTAAAGTTGTAAATATGGTATGCTTCCTCTTTAAATATTAAAGGTTTAACTAAAGGTATAGTTGTAAATATGGTATGCTTCCTCTTTAAATATGAAAGGTTTAACTATAGGTATAGTTGTAAATATGGTATGCTTCCTCTTTAAATATTAAAGGTTTAACTATAGGTATAGTTGTAAATATGGTATGCTTCCTCTTTCAATATAAAAGGTTTAACTATAGGTATAGTTGTAGATATGGTATGCTTCCTATTCCAATATAAAAGGTTTAACTATAGGTATAGTTGTAGATATGGTATGCTTCCTATTCTAGTTAAACTATATTTGGTGCAAACTTAATGCAAACCAAATAGATTCTAGATAATCTGTATTTGGTGCAAACTTAATGCAAACCAAATAGATTCTAGATAATCTGTAT